ACTTGACAATGGACAACCAAACGTGTCTTTTGAAGGAAACAAAATTTCCAGTTCTCACGAACCAAGTTTGGTTCTTATAAAAATTCCATTTCCTTCAACCAAAACGCATTTGGTCGTCCATTATCAGGTAGATCTAATCAAACTTATTTTTTAGATTGGACTTAAAAAGAGAAAAGTATCAATACACTCACGTAGCCGCGAAATTTTGCACGTCGGAGGATCCTGATGCACTTGGAGTACTGATCCATTTTTCCAACTGGGGAGAAATTACGAACCGTAGACTAGATTCTAAATAACAGCGCGCGGTACGTTGGTTCCGACACGAGGAGGTCGAAAGCGAGGATAAGCGAGAGTCGAACTAGAGACCTCGAAGAGCTGTGATACATAACGTAACAGTGCTTTAGCAAGCAGAAATAATGAGTCTATTATACGGCTGTCTGTGTTGGTAGCTTTGTAACGACGCGTTCATCGGACGCGTACGTACGGTGCGAGCCGTCTCTTCGGAGAACACCCGAGTCGCATGAGCGAGTATCAGTCAGCGGTTGTCAAGCCTCCTTACTGTCAAATCTTTGCCTTCGACATCGTATCCGACTCTTTGATGCGATCGCCCTGCTTTTTAGCTGCGAACGTCTCTCTGTGTGATTCCGACGCTTCATCCGCGCTCTCGACTCTCCAAAAAATGCAGCAACGTGTATGCATAATAAAAATAAAAAAGTACATAAATACTTCGCGTCGTATTTACGTACACGTATGTATACTGGGAGAACAATATAGCTATTTTCAAGGACAATATCCTTTTTTTTCAATCTTAACCACAGAAATAATAACAGTAACACGCACGTAAGGTTATTATCACTGAGTAACACTGTAATAACATTTACTGAAAAAATAATTCTTTTGATTATTCTTGCTGGTTAAAATGAAGAAAGGATATCGTTGTCCCCGCAAAGAACCATCTTTTTTTCTCGGTGTGCGTGAAAATTGATCGGTCAATTTCACACGTTCACAAACAATTTTACACATTCTCGGACTCACGCCGAAAATTCCGTCGGTCTCCTTTATTTCCAGGCGTAATGTGTTACATATATATCACACGACTCAAGTCTTATCCCCAAAGTCATCGGACACGGTGAATTGATGAATTTTCTGAATAAGTTAAGTTCGCTAATTAAAAAGAAAGGAAGAAAGAGATCGTCGTCTAGCGAGAGCTCTCGTTAGCTAATCCTCACTTAGTTCCACCGCCACGCTCGTTTCATTCTATCCTATTCGCGCAGACGAGAGTGATCGAAATCGGCGAGGGATACGCGAGCACATTCATTAGCACATAACGTACACCCGCACGCACACACACACGCGCTATATCGAAGTAGACACACGAACGGCGTAAGCCGGCGCGGGCGAATCGTCTCCATTGTCCGCGGCGGAGCGTGTAGAGGGCCCCGAGACTTTCCCTCGTTCACCCACGGTCACTGCTGCGGTGACGTAAGGCCCCCTCGCTAGGTAATTGTTACCTATGCTACGAAGACTCGCTTTATAATGTTCTCCGCTTCGCTCCGCGCGCTCTGTTCCATTCTATTCTATTCCATCCCGTTCTATTGCGCGTGCCTTCAGTCTGACATCAACGCACTCGATTGCACGATGCACGCGTATGTATACGCGGCGCACGGATTACGATACCGCGGGGCCCCGATAATCGGAAAATCTCTCTCTCTCTCTTTCTCGTTGACGGGGACCGTGCGTTCGCTCTTCGAATTTTCGGCCCCATTTTGGGTTTTTCGAGATTTTTCAAGCGTCTTTGAATTCACAGCGGACACATCGTCGCTCGATCGTAAACAATATATTCCTACTTCTCAGTGCTGTAACAGATACGTTTCTTGAAGTAACTAGATACAGATATTGAAAAGGAAATGCGGATACAGATATAAATTTGAGGTAATTAATTAGACATAGATACGTATATACCGTGAGAATATATACTTCATGAAGTGTATCTATTTATTTATTTACTGTATCTAGATATGTTCTCATAGCATATGTATTTATATCCGGTTATTTACCTCAAACTTATATCTGTATCTGCACCAAATTTGCTACGTTCAAGTAAATATCTGCTATAAGGGGTATTATGAAGTAGTTTATTTTATTTATAAGTAAATTTATTTATAATTTATTTATTTATATGTATATATATAATATTTATTAATTTATATATATATATATATATATATATAAATTAATTTATTTATAAGTAAACATTATTTAGGTGTATACACTGAAGGAAAAAAAAGTACTATATTCAAGTAATATTTACTTAATCCGAATAAAATAAACTACTTCAACGTCTTTTATAGCAAATATTTGTTTGAATGTAGCAATTCTGTTTTCAGTGTAGTCAAAAATATATATCACCGCACTGCTATTATTGCAAAACTGTCAATTTAACACGACTGATATGACGTGACTAGTTGATAACTCTGCCGAGATCTTACGATTACATATCGGTAATTAACAGGGGATTAAAGGAGAGAGAGAGAGAGAGAAGCGATCTCTTTCGACGATGGCGTCGTTAATATATATTGCGAAAAATATACTCGGGGGAGAGTCGATTCGTCATGCAAAGATCTCAGAGCGGATAAACACGACGAAATGGCGAAAGTAAATCGGTCAAAGCCAGATAAACGATCGGATATTAAAGGCTAAACGTAAACTGGGTCAGTTATGCGTCGGAGTATCGCGGCGCTTGTGCAAAAATTCTCGTTCACGTCACACGAGGCGCACAACGGGGAAATTTTACACGCCCGTTGCGCCAGCGTTAGCATTGATATTTTCACTCGGTGGTTCGTTCGCCCGCGTCGTAAAGGAATTAAAGATGAATTTCCGTTTGATGAGCAGCACGATTTCCAACTCGGCAGCATACGTTAGCCGAGTGCACGCTAATGAGTTACGATAATTGCATGCTTGTCATTACATATATTTGAATATCAAATCTCGAAGAAGGAGTCGTTCTATCACCGTGACAACCTCGCTACGACCCGGACGGTGTCGTCCGCGATTCATGAATCGCGACGAAAAAGTCGCGGTCGAAAAGATCGCACGAAGTTTCTGAATGGATCGAGTTGAAAAATGAGTCTGAACGCGCCGCGAGTAGCTTACGCCATTACCGATGTTATCTGTAAACCATTACACATGGTTGTGGGATAGCTTGTTCATTTGTTGTTTGACTGCAAAGATACCGCTGTGATATATCTCGCAGTGTTCTCCGTGCTTACGAGAGAGCGTGCTGAGAAATAAAAGAGCGGGTTTCCCAGGTTCAATGGTATTTTTGCGAATAAAACGCAAAGAAACAGAAAGTACTGCTGAATACATTTAAAAACGCCCTCGATATTAAGAACACGTATATTAACCTTTCGACTCCCAAGCGGGACGAGTCGTTCGCTTCGTAGCATTGATTTTTTAAGAATAATTCTGCCAAACAATTGTGATCATTTTTTATGGACTTTCCTAATTGTTTTTTATAAAGAAAAATAAATGACATTGTATTATATTTATGCATTTGATATATTTATTTACTATATTTTAATATAATCCTTAACGTCATAAATATGCTATTTCACGGAAAATTTTTCAGAGTCGCCGCTCGCTCCACTTGGAAACTCACGTCTGAGAAATCAGCACGGCAGTCGAAAGGTTAAAGCATGTGCCGATATAATGGTAAATTTCAATATTAATTAATATTATAGTTTTAAAGACTTGGAAAAAATCCTGTTTTTTTCTTTGTCAACTTTTCGCGAGTTTTTTCAGTTTCTTCCTACGGATGGATGAAAAAATTGAAAAAGCCGGATTTTTGAAACTAATTATAATTATCTATTATACTAATATAATTAATATCGAACTTTAACTTCGTTGTTAATTAATATAAAGAAGATATACATAGCGCGGTAACTGTACAAGCGTTCTGACGAAAGATCATTTTTCTCGAGTGGATTTCACCGTGAAATACCGTCCAACCCTTCGACGAAACGTTTAATTGCCGCGCGACTCTAACAAGACATATCGCAATGCCGAGAGAGAGAGAGAGAAAGAGATAGAGACCGGACAGTTGACGATTCGATTTCTAGACGGCACGTAAGTACGTGCGTTGGTGAAATCGCGACTTGTTGCTGACGATGGCCCCCGGTACTACGATGACGAAGAAACGTTAAATGAGAAACGAACGGTGACGATAATGAGGGGTTTGTGTTTGCAACACGTGCAAACGCGCCGACCTGAGAGATGTTATCAGCCACCCTGACGTAACAATGAGAAACTCCTCCACCGAGTCGCAACGCTTTCGTTCGTACTTGCAATCGGGGAAATAAATAAACCGGCTTGTCGCGTAATTTAGTAGTGCCTTACGTATGCACGCGCGGAGTTATCGGTATCGAGGAGGAAGAGCCCCGGGGTGTGAGGAAGCAATAGCGAAGCTCATCGTTTATCTGTCCCCCTCGTGCATATAAACTCGCTTTCTCTTTGCGGACGTTTATTCAGTTTTCCACAACTGGCCAGCGATTCGTAACCCTTGCCATCGTGTTAGCGATTTTTTTCGAAAAAAAAAAAAAAACTATGCAAATACCGCTATCTATAAAACGAATCAGACGGTCGGTGTTAAAATTTTTCAACGCGAATTTCTCCAGAAACGGTATTGCCTGATATTTTGCAAGATCTCGTTAGCTCCGAAGAATTTAAAGAAAAAAAAATATCTACCTGAAATTTGGATACTATAAAATTTAAGGGACTATTATTACGATGCAGATTCACAATTCTCTTGTTAATTTGACATCGGTTTTGTTTATCGTTGGACGTATCGCGCGGTGGATTTAATTTGATTTACGGAATCGGAAGGGGAGAGAGCGCGAGAGAAAGATATCGAAGCCGCTCCGCGAAATTTCAACACCTACACCTGTAGCCCGAGAATAATCCTTCGCCCGACAAGCGGAGGAATGGAGTAAAAATGAACTTACCATCGTTATGATACTGTCTCGATGGCAGGGAGACCGCGCCCGAAGAGGGTTGTTGTATCGGGGGTTGTTGTTGCGTACCGCTCTGAGGAGGACCGGAGGAGTTGTTCGAGGCGACAGAACCGGCGGGCGTCGGTGGGTTTTTATGTTCCGATGCTGCCACCTGATGGCCGCCCTGGTATCCCAAAAAATCACCTAAATCTGGCACGCATACGCTTTCATACAAGTTCGCCGGCACGTTCTCCAGAGAGGCCTTCGCTGCGTCGACATCTAAATGTAAAACGGAATAAATCCTCAAGCGGGTTGCACCTCTGTTTGGCATGCCTTCGAGAATGCGCGCCCCACCTCCGTGTCCCTATCGAACTTACCGAAAACGTTTCGTCGTTTAAGCGAGCCAACAACACGTCGACGTGGGATCGCTTTGATATTACACAATAGAAAATTTTGTTTTCAAAACCCACTGACATTTTTAGTATTTTTAATATGGAGAATGTGATGAAAAGTACACAAATATGTGTTAATTTAACATTATATTTGTGTTTGTCAAGGTTGGATGAGTTAATTTCTTTTTTGTAATTAAATTAAGGGTCAGTGGCATGTATAATTAATTTAGGTAAGTTAAAAATAACTTAAACGAAAACTAAAAATTAAAAGTTGAGTTAAAATTAAAATAACTTATTAAGGTTCAAATTTAATTATGCAAAACTATATACGTATATGGTTTAGAAGAAGAGGAAGAAGAATAGTTAGGTTGGGTTTATATATACAGTCTCGCATAATTAACTTTTAACTTCTAACATAAATTAATTTACCCTGGCATCTTTTAACACATTCCTCATATTAAGACGACGAAATTTCAGCGGGCCGTTTTTAACACAAAATTTCATACTGTATATTAATAGAGCACCCAATATTCGCGATGGAAACATTCCGTATGTTCGTGAATGAATTTCCAAAGTTGAAATCGACCGAAATGTCGAAGTTCGACAGATTAAAAATAATTACGCGTGCGTGTCTGTTTGCCGACATTATCAATTATATAACTGTTTTGATCGTGATTTTATTATAATATTATCCTTTACATCCATGACTTATACATACGCGTTACTCGCGACAGTTTAAATTGCCCTCTTGCCAATGTAAAAGAAAAAATGAAATTATACGCTCGAACAATATCCTTTGCAGGGATTTGCATATTCTTCTCTCAAGTTCCGGTCGACTCCGATTGCCTAACGAGGACGTTGGAGACGACGTGCGTAAAAAAAAAAAAAAAAAAAAAAAAAGGAAAANTAATCGTAATAATTAAGGCTTATCTTCTCGCGCGATAAGTGCGTTATCGCAATGGCGCGTGTCGGTGTGCTAATTTTCCAGCTAATTATATCAAGAATGAAATGTTGCATTGTTGTCATCGTGTTATTCCCCCGTCGTGTTGCCGCGATCGTTGCGCGCATCGCCAAGTGTAATCGTGATTAACGATCTCTCCAGCAGTCTAGAGCACTATCATCATCGCGACCGTATTGCGAAGGAGACGTTTACCGTCGCCGTGATTCATCGCCGGTGTGTTTCTACGTTTCTAAGAATTCTCGCGGAACAATTGTGCGCGGAACTGAAAATGCAAAACGCGCCGGTAAATTCCCAGGGCATTTTTTTTCACTGCTCCCTCCTCATCTCTCTCTCTCTCTCTCTCGCACTTTGTTGTTATACTTCGCTTTTATATGCAAATAAACTATACCGTACTTCCTCCGTGCGCCGTCAACAACAGCGGCAGCAACGTGAACGCGAGTTTTCTCCTCATCTCCACGCAACTCCGATATTGCGAATTTATTGTCTCGCCGTCAGGTGTGACACCCCGAGTGACGAGAAGATTCGTCGACCATCCGTCGATCGCACGTGCTCCGTCGTAATTCACGAGTGAAGAAGAAAAAAGAAAAAAGCATCGGCGCCGGGGTCTCGTCGATGGCGAAACGGCGCGCATTAATGAATTTCGCCGCGAATCCGATCGGTATCACCGCGACAGGAAGATACAACTTTTTAGTTTCTACTTTTTTACAACGCAAGAGCGTTTCCTAACATCCGTTCTCATTCGCGGAATCAAAGCGATTACCCACGTCGTGTCGCGACTGCGAGCGAGCGAGCGAACGCGCGCGTACGGGCACGCTAGGCCTCACTTAAATTACCGTCGCCTCGGTCAGAGATCACGCGGCGGCCAACTACATCGTTCACAATTCGTAGCACAATAATAAATTGCGCACGGCTTGGAATGTGGAAGGCAACGGGGCGCGCTTTTATCCCGCTCTTCCCTCGTCGCTCCTACCGTAATTACGAAAAATCTACCTTCTCCCGGGGGGTTTTTTTTAATACGCGAACACACGGGACGCGATGATGATCGCGGTACGGTAAAGAATATCCCTCGTGACTGGACCGAATCAAAATTGCAAAGTACACGTTACTTTTTATAGGCGAACCCCGTTCCTCGGAAATGCGACTTTCGAGACGATCTGCGAAGGAAGACGCGTCTTACGTATCATTATACATGGAAGAAACTCGATTTAAGTAAAGAATTACTCCGATATTCATTGGTAAATTTTCACTTGGATCAAGTATTTTTATTTAGATAATTCACTTGAAAAATATTTTACTTGGATCAAATAAATATTACTCGATCCAAGTGAAAATTTGCTAAGGAGTATTGAAGTAATTATTTACTCGAATCTAGCATTTCTTTTTCTATGTATTTATGCCGGTTTGTAACTTGTATTTCACTAGACGACAGACAGCTGGCTGATATATAACAATAACTATCACCACCTTGAATATCTTCGAAATATGAATTATCATAAATAAATCTATCTATCTAAATATGAGAGTATAGTGAGTACAAATTGCTACGTTTAAGTAAATATTTGCTAAGGAAGATTGGAGTAGTTTATTTTATTTGGATTAAGTAAATATTACTTGAATTTAGCACTTTTTTCTTCCGTATGCTACATTCAAGATATTTGCTTAATCCAAATAAAATAAACTACTCCAATATTTCTTAGTAATTTATTTGAACGTAGTAATTTTCTTCTCGGTGTAGGGGAAAAATTGACCTGACAGAAATTACATCACATCGAACACCAGTGAATGTTCTTCATCTGGTTATTTTTCATTTTCGAAGATATTCTAGATAGTAATAGTTTTATTGCCTTATTATATAAGATATAAATTACATTTCATTAAAAGACATCTCTCTCTCTCTCTCTCTCTCTCTCTCTTTCTCTCTCTCTCGGGAGTCACACGTCGAGTTTAACGTTAAGAACGCTTCGCCCGCGTCCGTATCACCACTTCCTTTCGGAACGAAGAGAGGGATTACGTATTCGAGACGAATCTCAGGTTTTGTGTGGACAGTTACCGTTAACCGCTCGCCTCAGATCGCGCTAGTCGATTAAGCCGATGGTTTTCGCCGATGATGAGGCGACATGAATAATCGATAAGGAAGCATGGGTTTCGCTTAACGGGAGTTAAATCACGAGCGGACCTCCTGCTTCCTGCCAAATCATTTCGTACGATCTGTACCAACTCCTCCTTCACACACATCTGTATTCCTCCCTGTTTTCCCAAAGGGTCCCTTTTTTTTTTCGACCCCTCTCAGCACCTCTCGCTTTATCTCTTATTCTTATCTCCCCTTCAACTGTAATTGTCCCGCGCGTGTATCTTGCATTAAAATATTTAGGATAAAATTATCTTTATCTCCGGTTAACCGATATCGTCAGGCATGAGGTGACCGTTTTTCTATTTTTGTATTTTCCAAATGGTAAAGCGCTGCCTGTAAATCACGTGATCCGAGTGTCACGGCCAACTTATGAATAGAGGCTCCAAGGGGCGAGGAAACCGATCGTAAGACGCACAAATATTTTCCCCCGAGTTTTCGCCGCATTGATCGCATGGACGATGGTGCGCGATCGCGCGCATTCGCGGCGGCCGTAAACTTGACTTGCCGCTTTTCAGTGCGCGCGCCATAAAGGAGCGTACACCGGAGGATCTAATAGAAGGGAACGCGGCCATTGACGGGCACGTCGCGAGATCGAAATTCGAGCGAATTCTTCGGTGCATGCGCAGCCCGAAAAGCGTCTAAGTGGCCACGGCGCGCTGCAGCAACGTTTTCGGCCGGCGCAGGATATCCGGGATGAGAGTTTCTATGGCGCGCGCTCTCTGTCTTTCTTCTCCCCCTCCCGCTTTCATTCTCTTGGCCGGTAACCCCCTGGGTAAAAACGAGGAGGTTCGGGGGGCCGATTCAGCGCTACGAAACGGGAGATACGACGGTGCGGGGGTGGAGGAGAGACGATCGGCGCGCGCGCACCGCCCAATCGTTCGCGTCATTGTTCGTCGGGCCTCCTTTCTGGTCGCGCTGCGCCGCCGAGACATCGCGATTTTACGGAAATTCGATCGGTTTTGTCGATCACGACGGAAGGTGGCCGCCGCAAAAAGAGCGTAGCGCGCGCGCGATGAGTGCTTTTCTTGCAGCAGGTACCGTCAACCACACCGCGCACGGGGTCGTCAGCAAGCAGCATCGAAAGCGAGAAACGCAAGATCGGTATTCCTGGTAACTCAGCGCGATCTGTACCGCTGGCAGAAATTACAAGGAATAGCTCGGGTTGGGAAGAACGTAAGTTTTGTGCGCTGAAGATAAGATAAGCAACATGAGTTTTTAACAATTCCAATTTTCCGTAAACTTGTCCGTCGACCTCCGTTCGGTTTACACATGTCGCAATCGATGGTAGCGAGAGAAGTGGAATTTTCAATTAATAGGTCGACGACCGTCGTGCGGAGATCTCATCAAGCTTCCTCGAATTTTTCCCAGGAGATGATCGTAGGGATCGATGATGCTTTTCAAGCATGTCAACTCATACATCATCGAGTCCGTCAATTCTCGATGAGTCACAATACACGGCCTTAGGTCGGTTAAAATTTGAGAAGGCTCGAAACAAAAGGACTTATCGGAGGGTTGACGGATATCTTAATCCTATACAACACAGACCTTCCTAAAGGACGTTCTGAAGATAACGTCCCCAGAGAACGCCCTTATATCCTAAGGACATCCCATCGGACAAAATGTGACGTATAGGATATATTCCGAGGAAATTCGAGTGTGTCTTGCTAATTCATACCGGAAAAAGACCACGTACCTTTTTGCAGGATCTCAAGATGCTCCCATAGGATGTCGCCCATGAAGGCGGGGGCACGTGCTAGAAAGGACTCCTTCCCCATGGCACAAATCTGTTTCCCGGTCATGTGCTGCCACGGCTGCACCGCCACACCCTCCAACGAGAATTCCCCAATAGCCCAGTGCAACCAGTGGGCGACAGCTGCTTCCGACCATTGCCTCGGATCTGTAAAATAAGGGTCCGTTTGTTTTTTTCTTTTTTTCCAGCAGCTACCTAGGTGGATCCCGCTGCCCGAAGTGAGCCGCATCACGAGTCCTTATCATCGGCCCTCGTGATCCTGGCGATAAGGGAATCTTTTCATTAACGTTAACTTCTTCGTCGTCCTGAGAACGTTGGAAAAGTAACCTTTAAGTCGATATGACGGACGAGGAGATGAATATACAGATACATAATCTCAGCTTTTAACAAGTACAGAAAAGTATGGAAAAAAGTTCGTTTGAAATTACCTAACAATGAGAAAACTAAACGCGCTTTGACTGCAGGAAAGAGAATTTGTGGTCCTTAACCACATTCGGTTCTTGTAATCAGAAATTCCGTTTATTCATTATCGAGTATCTTTAATGAATTTTTTTCCACGTAAACTTAGAGAACCGGTAATTTCATCGCATGTGCCGCTTGATTAATTTATCAGAGAAAATTCAGTCGAACAAATGTTCATCAGGAGTCAATCTATTCAGGGCCATCACGAATTCGGGAGATTCGCAACAGTGATGATTATTTAACGGTTCGATTATTTTTAGAATTGATAATATCGAATATCGACGAACTTTCTCTTCCACGTTCTTGAAAAGGACGAGTTAGCTCGTCGTGAATGATCACGTAGAAAACACGTTTACGCGATATCATCGGAATATATTAATGCGTATAAAATATCAATAAGTCGGCATACGTTGACATTTTTAAAAGCAGCCTTCCCAAAGCTTCAACTTTTTCCCCTTTTTTCGACACGTCTGGTTTTTTCGCAAATGACGGTCATCCGAGAGCGAGCTCGTTAAGAGCGGACCGAATGTCATCGAAGACGAAGCGAGCGTTATATGACATACGTTCGGTCGACGGCGCGATCGTTAGCCGGGCCCCAACCATCTTTGGTGGCAGTAATACCGAGAAACATCGGAATGTCCCATTTGAGGTGCGCGCCCATATTTGCACGCGTGTCTTGCATTGTTTCGTGGTATCTCGCTGCGTAAAAGTACAGTTCGGCTCATAATGCAAACAGCGCTTGCCGACGTAGCGACTTGCTAATGTACCTGCCTCGCTCTCTTACAATTTCATCCTTTAACTACGCGACCAAAGCGACACGGTTGAGAGATCCGGGATCCGTCCTGGTGAAGATGATCATCGTGAAAGATCTTGCGATAGGCTACCGCCTAACATAGGGTGCTTCTCGGCAAAAACCGTTCAAGTGTGAGGAGATAACGAAATTTCGAATTTAATTTCTTATTTATACGCAGTGAAAAAAACCTGGCGTTAAATTTAACACATTTCACGTGTCCCAAACGGTTCGCTAAAATTTTCGTGTTAATCTAATACAAGGTGAACTTGTTGAGAAGTAATTGAAAAATTTCACGTTTAAAAGCAATATGTTAACAAGATGAATATGTTATTTTAACATTATACTTATTACTTTTTAACATATTTTTTCATATTAAATATAAAAATTTCATTGAACCGTTTTTACTGTATATAATACAAAATGTTTTACCGGGTAGACTACACGAGAATTTGATTCCAACAAATCGAAATGGTATTACGAAAAGTATGAATTTTTAAACATTTTTCTACATAAGAATGGTAAAATTTAGGGGGGTCCATTTACGACGAGAATCGGTCTTGACATCATTATGGAGAAACAACATAAAGTTCTATCACAGAAAATGCACTTTCGTTAGAAGAAATGCGAAGCAATATTTAGAAATAAACTTTGTATTTAAGGCAACTCGGCAACACGGTCTGCTTTATGATATCCAATGATACGAGACGTAAATCTTAGACGAGAATGCAAATCCTACCCGATCCCGACAGAGTCATATGGTGCGGGCGACGATATTCGCAGAATCGATGAGGCACGGACTGAATTGACGTCTTTCGCGCGCGTGCGCGGATAGGATATAAATATAGAAAAAAGAAAAAAAGAAGCGAGCGAGAACCGAGGCAAGAGATGTCTAACGGCACGGCACGTTCAAAGCGACCGCTCGTGTTTGAGGATCGCACCGATATTTGCCCAACTTATTTCTTGTCAGCGTTGTTAGCAGACTTTACACTCTCTTTCTCGCTTCATTCGAACACAAATCTACGGTCGCGCACGCACGTGCGCGCCGCTGTACACATACGCGTTGTGTTACTAGTTGCCCCCTCGGTATTGTTGCCGTGCAATAATACTTTGTAGTATTTTTGCACGTTTCGGAACACGTTTCGCGAACAGAGAAGTCCCAGAAAACTCGTCCACGATTAGACAATTGAGAAAGATTCGAAAATGATTTCAATTAAAATCACTCTCAGATGGCGTAATCGTTTCTCTTTATCGTATATATTATTTTATATTCCGTCTTCATGTCCTGCCGCCTGCCGGTCGCCCGGTCGTTGCACGGCGAAGTGAGGTGTTTTGTGTATTTTGGCGCTCGTGAAGCGTGCGCGGCGTACCTGCTCGTCACAATGCCGAGGGAGCTTGAAAAGTGTCGAACGACAAAAGCAATTAAGCCATCGATTCTCAAACACAGATAACGAACGGGTGCCACCTGCCCTCTCGCTCCCTTGAAATCTAAAAGTTCCGGCTGTGATTCCGAGATACCGATCGTCCCGACTCGCACACCTATTGCAACACCTTTTTACACGTTACTAATAAAAACATTATACATTGCCGTGTGGCGACACTGTGAACCTCGAGGAGACAGACTCGGGAATCGAACGGACCGGCTCAAAAATATCCGCCATTCGGCAAAGCTATGATTAATCCTTTAAGGCTCAGTGTACATAATAATGTACATCAACTTTGGGTCTTCCCCTAATTTCGTCTCTTGGTAAAATAAGTTTCGTCGATGTAATATTAATCCATACTAATTGAAGCTAAATTCTCCGTCCTATAAATAGCGTATTTTCAGTCGAAAATCAATACCGTGTATCGCGTGCAAAGTGACGCTCGGATTTAGGATTACTCCGGTATATATACGTCGCATCTAAGGAAAACTTGATTTATCAAGTATCATTTGTTATGTTTAAGACAAATGAACTGTGCAAATAAAAACTATATTGTCTGCTATTATAAACCAAAAAATTGGAAACACTTAGCATCAAGTTATTTGTGAAAAAGTCCAAGTATATTTCTACTTATGAAAGTTTTGTCCGATGTCCTTCAACGACCATGATATAAAGCGGAAGACAAATGTTTCTCGAATAAAACCAATTTTAATATTTTCTCATTTTTATACCTTAAACGCCCAATGTCGTACGCACTCAGAAAATCATACTTCTCGACGACCAATTTTTTATTAAAACAAAACAACTTCCATCGGGAACGATCTTTAAGACGATCTTACAAATTACAAACTATTATAAATTACAATTGTACGCCAATGGGGAATCGATGTGTGAGCCTTGAAGGGTTAACCGTCAACATCGGCAGCTTCGCTAAACTGGGATAATTGGACGAAAAATTAATGAAAAAAAAAACGCGGAAAAAAAGAGAGAGAGAGAAAGAGACAGAAAGGGAAGGATAAATCAAGCCGCAGAAGTGAAAAGGACACGACGCCGACGCTCTCAGGCCGCGAAGCGAAATGGCGAGAGCGGGAGGTTGTGTTCGTTAGGTTCACGGAGGTCAGACCGTAGGTGATCTGGCCCGAGGGTACGAACCCGGGGCATGTAGACCGGAAGTAACGTCACACCCGCGTGGCTCTGAATGCGCATACCGGATGTGTGGCATCGGCTCCCCATCAGAACCATCAACATCACATTCACAATTCCTGCACATCGCCGGCCGCCTCGTCGCACATCGCGTCACATCGCGCACCCGCGTCTCCGTGTCTCTCGCACGCACGCACGCACGCATGTGCGCACGCACTCATCGCGCGCGCGCGTTTCTCTCCCCTCCTACTCTAGCAGCGATTTTTTAACAACTCGCGCGGTGAGGCGGTGCGAGAATAATAAATCAAATGGAGGAAATTATAGAATGGTAAGCTCCGAGGGATGATAAATAGCGTTAATTACATATAAATTGTATTTCGGACAACAATAGCATTCTGCGAACGATCAGTTCGGAAGATTGAAGATCTCGAGAGCGATTTTCCGAATCCGCACCGTGATTAAATATATTGTCGTTGCGCAATTTTGCGTACCGAGGAGAGGCGACCCGCGGTCGGTATCAATTAGGCGGCGCTTAACGGTAGTTAATGAAGATCGAGGAGACAAGAACTGACCTTTAGTTATGTTCAAGCGAAGTCGTTCCTTTTCCCAAGATGCGAAGGAGGCCTCCAGAGCCTCGGTCATCTTCTTGTTGGTCCCAGGTGTTAACGGCGGCACTTGCGCCGGTATATCTGTAAACAAGACAGACCGTTCGGTTAATTCCGCCTTCAGTGCAGTACCTTAGGATTTAGAGGACCCCGAATCTCCTATTCTTCACGGAGTTGGCTCGGGGAAGCTTCTTTCGAGAATCCCGGGAGAACGTACGCGGAGAATCGCGCGATTTTCGTGAATCGAGAACCTTCCTCTCGCTCGCTCCTCGCACACTTATCTCGTCCGCTCTCGTGAAGCGAGATGCGAGTGGAAATTCATGGAAATTACATATTCGCTCTCGCGACACTCGAGGCGCGCGAGAAATGGTTCCCTCACCTGTGCAATGTTACGCGGTGTGTGTGTACGTGCGATAATGTCATTCCCGAAGTAACTAATAATATATACCGAGAGAACACACGCCGGCTGGATCAAACAGAACTGGCGGTCACCCTCCCGACAAACGAATACCGTATTCGCGTCCGTATATGACGAACGAATTACGCGTTGACGCAACGATAAATTACGCCGACGTGGACGACGCTCGGCCGCTCGCTCGCTCGCTCGACGTAGGTCGCGATCGTCGAATCCGCTAATGGCTCTCGTTGCAGTAATTACATTGAAATTTGCTCGGTCGGCGCTCGGTCTCGACGAATTTCGCTCGTCCGAGCGGAGTTCCCTTTCTTTTTCATTCCCGACGTAGCGATCCGTTTAGAACAAATCGCAGTATCGAGGCGGGCAGGGTCGGCCGGTCGGTCGTTCATTCGTTCGTTCGTAGGTGATACCTGTCGGCGTTTCGAGCGAGAGGCAACGAGGTAAAACGGGGGATAGAAGCGGAGTTTAAGCGCGCTTCTCCGTGTGTGAGAAGGCAGGTTAATGTTGCTTCTCACAGGCGCGCGCACACGCGCCTGTGGCAAGCCGCCTTTATGCCTCGCGCCTGTGTGCGTGCACGTGGACGCGCGCGCGCGCGTTTACGTGCATGCGTCAGGTGTCGCGCGGCTACCAGCTCGGGCACGACGGGCACAACGACGACGAAGCGAGCGAAGGCGATGCGGCGAAGGGGGCACGCACAACCATCTTAGATAGCATCGTCATAAAGAGGGGTGCAACTGCCGGGCAGGCAGGTGCAGGTGCATCGTCGTCGTCGTCGTCGCCGTCGTCGTCGTCACTTCGCTCGCTCTACGACGCGCACGCCAAGGCAAACGAGAGAGAGAGAGACGCGCCTTATGGCATTCGTGCGCGCACGCTACTTTCGCGATCTCGCGCGTTTCTCTCTACGAACGCGAAGTCGCACTTCGCGTAACGAAGTAAGGACGTTCAAGCAGTCGACCGGAGAACCTCGTGCACTCCCGAGTCGAAATTTCGGTTCTATTTTAAGTTTAATTTCGTTCTGCATGCGGAGAACCGATTGTCTCAACTTCTTGGTAAGTTTTAGCCGAGACAGGTACACAGATTGAACGGACCAATCAACAACAGCCATTGATGTTTACTTAGCAAATACCTGTCAGGTAAATCCTACTGAGAAGTTGAAACATCGGTCCTGAGTCTTCAAAGGTCTTCTACTGTGTTCCTTCGGTGCTTACAAGTGGGGACGTTATTGCCGTTTTCTCTCTTTGAAGACTTAATGTGGAATTAAAATTTCGACTCTGGAGGTCTCGACTCCCATTTGTAGCATTAAAGGAGCACTTATTGCTACAAACAGGGGCTTATTTCCGTTTCCCCACTTCTTTAATGTTTAACATTTCGACTCAGGTTTTAACGGATTTTTGGGTTTCTATCGCGTTTCTACACGCTCGAAAGGAGATAGTCTGTCATGAGCTGTCTTCGGGTTTTTAGTTTAAAAAAATTGTAGATTACGAGCTTATCCGTACGTCAGTCGTTACCTCGGAGATAACATCCCGTCGTCGTAGTCGAGCAATGACGAACGAATGTCTTGGCGCGCATTGGACGCCCGCGCGCGCGCGAGACGACTATTGAAAATTCACGTGCCAACGGCCAACGTGAGACGCGCGTAGAATTTCAAAGGGGCGTACAATTTCGCAGCAAGAACGACGTCTGCGGACGATGCTCGCGCGCTAGATGCTCCACACGCACAATCGACCTCGCGCTTTGCCCTCGGATCGAGCATTTCGTATTGCTGAAATATTTCACGCGATCGCGCTGCGTGTGCTCGATAATAAATACCCCGGTTTAAGTATACTCCCGTCGGTGGATAAATATTTGTCGAATATGCCTTCAGAAAGGGCTATAGGAGGAAAATGTGCGGATGTCGTCGCACGGGAAAAAAGGGATGAGCTTGCATAGCGAAAAACTAGCTATACGTATAGCATAACAGAGATTTCGTTACCAGACTTAATTTTTACCTGCGGGCTTCTCGCGTTCTTCACGACGCGCACATACATTCTGTTCTCTTTCTATTCTGTGCGCGATATCAAATATTTCAATGCGTTTATATACGTTTCCCGGCGCTACCTTTTGTGTTATCGAGAACGAGGATTTCGTCTGAAACGACCGCCTGAATCGTTTAACACGTTCGCTCGACCACGTCGATTTCTGCCTTTAATTCACGACTCGTGAATACAGATGCAGATTCGTGAATACATCTGCATTATGCAGATGGCGAGTTAAGTGCATAAGGACGATAGTAAAATTTCTGGGTATCGTTCGAAAACCTCGCGGCTACGCCACACACACACACACACACACACACACACACACACACACACACACACACACACACACACATATATATATATATATGGAAAGAAAAGAGCCGCTGTAATATCGCCACGTCGCGTTATAAATCAGGACCCGTTGTATTCGTAATGTATCATTTGCATCCCCGAATCTAAGGGGAAGAGATCGCGATATCACGCGTACAACTGGCAGGTGTCGCCAGTTGTGTCGGTGTGTCGAATTAACGAGTTTCCCTCTTTTTCTTTTTTCCTTTTTTAATATAAAACCCACTCGGCTTGCGCAATCGGCATCGGTTCGCTCGATCGACCGATGAGTCGGACGACACCGAGCTAAACAGAGCGCGATCGTTATTTAATCGAATGGAAATTCAAAACACCCAGGGTTCGCGACCTAAATGGCATTTGACCCGACACGATCAACATAAATTTGCATAGTTTGCGTTACTTGCGACCGGTATAACGGCTGGGTACTCCTTCCGAGCAATTAATGTCGATCGATAAAAATATTTTCTGTATTCGGTAACCTTAATTCGCTTAAAATACCTATTTGTAGTCGAGGAAATAATGAGGCGTATGCAATCGGCTGCGGATTATAGGGCCAATCTGTATATAGTATAAAAAAGATCTTTTTTATTCGTGGGCAATCTGTATGTAGTATAAAAAAATCTTTTTTATTCGTGCCATTTCATTGTAGTTGTAAAAAAAAAAACTACGTTCGTCCCTTATGCAACGCCGACTGGCGGACGTTTCGGTTGAGTTTCGAAAATGTAATAGCGAGTCGCCGAGAGTTTCGGGGAATTTGTAAAACGCAAGATACATCGATTTATCAAGCCTGAAATCGTAGTCTATATTTTGACTCTTGGTAAGGAAACATTCCGGGATTTAAGAATACAAAATCGCAAAATTGCTTCTATTAAAATTTAATGCGTGGTTCTGCATAATTGCCATAACACTCGATCGATTTGCGTCAACGGAATACAAATTACTATTTTCGAATGGAATATATCGCGAACATTACGATCGTTCGTAAATGTTCGCAATTCTAATTCCGTTGATCTCACGTAGAAAGTCTACATCCGATCCTTCCTACTTCCGCCGGAGTCTTTCACTTGCAAAACGCGGATTAATAACCGTACGAGATATCTTGTATTCTAAAATCATTGTTTCCTTACTTTATTAGCCGCGCACGTTATCCACGCTCAAATTTCCCCCCTTTTTTCTCTCGTTAATTATTCCACCTGGCTGACTAATATCGCAAAAAGATTGATAAAAATCTCTCATGTTACGATAATGATCGTAAAGATATGTGAGGTAGTAGGTCGGTGTTGATAAAACTAAAAACATATCAGACTGAAAAGTAAAACGGAAGCGCTGTGCTCGGAAAATGATATTCAATTCAAATTGAAAACATCCAACGCATCTAATCTTTAATCATTTTCAATAATAACCACGGCCTACGTAATGGATCTTCGATTTCCGGATAATCGAGTCGAATAAATGAGCTGCGGCACGATGAGTGAAGAGAGCAGCTCCGAACGTGACCCCGAAAACTCCCGTGGTTGTTTATAAGGAGATTTTTTTTTCTCTCCCGTCCATCTGGAATACGCCAGGGTAAGCATAACCGGCGCGAGGCACGTGCTACCAACGTCTTCTGGCTTATCCCTCTTTCCTCGACACCTCGAGAATACTCGGCAACCAAACAACTGCGGCAGCTGTTCCGTGGCGAACTGCGAGAGGAGAACGCGTCTCCAAAATCGTCGGCTGTTTTGTTTTTCCTCCTCGCGCCGAGAATTGTTATTCACCGCATCTCGGGACGCAGCGCGACGATATACTCGTCGACGACGAAGAAAAACGACAACGCGCGAGCGAGACGAGTGAAGCAAATCCAATGAAAGAGTTCATCGTTTTGCGAGAGCCCAAGGAACTGTGCTTGGAACGTTCCGAATTAACTGCGCTAGCCACATCGCGACGAATTAATTCAGTATTACTCGGCAGAAATCCTGGACTATATGTACGGAACGAGTCCTCGGCGGAGAAGGAAGAGGCGACCGTTTCGCGAAAATCAGATTGCTCGCGTAACCGATGTTGCAAATCGTTCCGTGATTGTTGGACGCAACCAACTGTGATGGGGGGGCGGTTGCCGAGGTGGTTTCTTGAATTTCACGAGAACCTCGTTCAAGAAGTGTCTATCAAGAGTAGGAAGACGTAAAGGAAGGACTTAGCGCGGGCGAGAGCCGCGGGGCAACCGTCGGTTGCACGTCGAACCGAGGGCGAACTACGAACGTGCAGGAGTGCAAGGCGAGCACGTGTTGGTATCGGCGCACCACCGGGCCCGCCTTTCCGTGGTA